CCAAATGTTCTGCACGCTGGGATCGACCTCGATCCAGTCTGATAAGATCAGGAAGTTTCCTTCCTGACAAATCGACCATGGTGAGATTCGAACCCGGGTCCCATGGTTAGAAAGTGAACGTTCTAACCACTCGTCCACACGCCTCTCTCCTCTACCTCTCTCTCTCCCCCTCTCTCTCTCTCTCTCTCTATATATATATATATATATATATATATATATATGCACATAGACAGAGGCACACACACACACACACACACATACACGCATACACACACACACACACACACACACAAAACACATCTGTTTTTCTATAAATACTTTTATGGTAATTGCTCAATGAAGCTCTTTGCTATGGTACCTAGACTTTATGAATAAGCATAGCGCTCGGCTGGCATCTAGATCCCATCATAAATGGATCGGAATTCGGCAGAATGATAGGACAAAATCTACTCTTAATCTAATCTTTTTATCGAATTCCGATCCATATTTGAGGTGTATTAGATCCTAATTTATATATACTGTGTGATTGAAAAGTAACTACCTATTTTATGCATGAATGACCAGTCAAGAGTCGTGACTTAACACCCTACGACTTTTCCCTTTGGAGTTGGTTAAAGGAGCAAGTCTACCAAACAAAAACTTCGATAGAATTTTAAAGGGTGAATACAAAAAGTTATATCTTCTATAACACATGAGTTCCTGGTGAAACCAGTTGACGCAATTCTGGGGCCCAGATCGAAATTTAAATAAAACCTTATGCTAAACGCTTTCCTCTCATACCCATTTCGTGTAAAAATTAAAATTAAAGAATAAATTAAAAAAATGGAGAGTCACTTTACTTTTCAATCGCCCATATATATATATATATATATATATATATATATATATATATATATATATATATATATATATATAAAAAACGTTTTCATTAAATAATATAGACAAGTTTTGTCTATTTTAAGCAAAACCTTTCATAACGTCTGATAAGCTTAATGACATTATCATTGAAAGACGAAAGAAACTCACCATGTTGATACATGTTTTATTCTTAATCCTTCCTACTGTTTCGGCTTACATCAGCCATCATCGAAGATTAAAGATTGTAATTTTGCAACAATAATAGATTGTTTGTTTGCATGGAAGATTGCTATGCAACGATAAGTTCGTGCATATGAAACACACGAAGTAAATATCGCATTGCGGTTCATGATGTCACACTTGACCACGTGAGAGTAAAAATGAAGAGAAATGTTAAGTATGAAAAGCCGTTGGTATAATCAACCAATAGCTTCTGTTATCAACTATAAGCATTTAAGTATATTTGTGGAGTTTTTATAATTTATTGTGTTCAAGTTAGGTTTCAACTGTTTTATGCATATAGCTTCAAGAATTTTTAGTTTTTGTTTATTGTTTTCATAGTTAAGTATAGTTGTATTTTCAACAAGGATTTTCCGGAATTGTGTCCGCGGCCAGTCATGTTGTTTTAAATGTCTAAAAATGTTGGAATTCTCATTCAAATGGAGAGTTAAGCGTCATGAAAGCGAGTTTGTGGTTTGACCAACATAAATATTATTTAATCCATTGAAGATACAATCTCCCACAGGGGCATTTGAATTTGTAAACTATATATATATGTATATAACAGACCACTTTAAGGCTTCATAGTAATAATTTATTTCACCAGGATTCATAGTAATAATTTATTTCATCTGGATCCTCAGACTTTACTTTCAAAGACGAAACGAAAAAATTAATTTAAAATTTACACTTTTGACGGGCAGTATTAAGGTTATATAAGTTGAATTAGAGGGTGGTGAGTAATGGTGTGAGAGACATGGTCGAGCTTAGAGAGGGAAAGGAGAGTTTAGAATTTATCTTTATATTTCTTTTTATTACAACATGTAATACTGAGGAAGGAGGAGGTAAGGATCAGACATTAACCTATTTAATCGGTTAACCTAACGGAAATGAGAAGAAAGAAGAAGAAAAGGGAAAAAGAAAAAAAAAAGAAGGAAGTAAAGAGATAAGAGATCTACGCAGGGTTTTTGGAGGAAGGAGACGGGTGACATAACTTTAGCAATTTAGATTAAAACAGATTTTAACGTTTGATAGTAATTTAAATGTTTAAAAATGTTTAAAAAAACTCTAGAAAGAACATATATTTAATGCTAGTTAGCTATTTAAAAATCAACTTCTCCACAAATAAATTGGAGATTTAATATAAGCCGAGTATCATATTAAAAAAAAATCTAATAGTAATATATTAATATTGTGAATGACTCTTAAGGTAAAATCTTTATCAGTTTGAGCCTAATATATGAATTTAATTTGTAGCTATTTTTAGATGGGTTATATTTTTGAATTAAACTTTAGATTTCAATTCAAGATGGCGTAAGATTTAAACGTAATAGTAACAAAAAAATTACTGTATATAGATAGATAGATAGATAGATAGATAGATAGATAGATAATATTAGTGGTAAATATACACATACATATGCAAAATATATAAATATATATACATACAGGCATACACATATATATATATTTTTTGAATAAAAAAAACAATTCCAATAGGATAGAATCCAGGTAGAACTCAATGTCCAGGACAGTGTAAGAATATAATAAAAAGACTTAAACACTAATATTCCATGGTCATAATTTATTCCATTGGAATTGTAAATACGATCCAATTCATCAGACCTACAAACTCAAAAAGAAAACAGAAAAAATAACCCCGGAAATAAAAATAGAATTTAGAGAGAGTGTAAGTATGAGAGTGTGGGACGAATGTTAGACCTAAAGAGAGGGGTAACAGACGAGAGAAGGTGGGAGATTAAACCTTAACAGAGAGGCGTTTTAGAGAGGTGAATCAAAGACGGTTTAAGTGAGAGAAATAAGAATTTTGTCAGCTGTATTATACATTAAAGATATAACCGGAAAGGATACATTTTGTGGTGACATACACACACAATAGACGATCTGATCTTAAAGATCAGAAGAAGAGGAAGATATATATATATATATATATATATATATATATATATATATATATATATATATATATATATATATATGTTTATGTTTAGGCAGGATATTTTCATTCAAATAGGCTTGGGTAAATACTTTAAACATATCATGTCGATTAATTTTCGTTATGATCCGTTCAAGCTTTCAAGTTCGCAGATTCATGTTTTGGTAGATTTCGAAAATTAAGTAAGAAAAATACCAAAATTTTCCTTCGAATTGTTTTTATTTTCCAAGTACTTTCAATCTCACCTGAGACGATCTTCATGGGGGTTAATTTGTCTGTGAGTATGTACATGTCTTTCTGTGAATTTAAAACATTTCAACTGCAGCGTTGTGAATTTCAAAGTTCAAAGTTCACGTTTTCTTTTAGGATTTTCTTTCAGTGTAAGTATATATATATATATATATATATATATATATATATATATATATATATATATATATATATTCGACTCTCTCGTCGAATTCGACGTATGAGGGTCAAGCAGATCAGTTCCTAGGAAACCGACAGCCCGACAACAGCACATGAGATTTGATTATAGTGGTGAAGGTTTCGTGCAGAACCATCCACACTTTTTGAAGGGCCGAATACAGAGACCTGGTGCACTACGTCCCACAAGGTCCCCAAACGACCATCCGCTGGTTTTGAATTCAGAGTTGTCCTTCTCCTAGACCAGTTGCCATCCAAGGCTATAGAACCCGGTCTGTCCTGCTATTTATCCATAGCTGGAGGGAGAAGAGTGGATTCACACACACAACGATTTATTGATAAAATCAAATAAAACCAAAACCACGTAACAAAAACGAGTATGTTACTTTATTGATAAGCTAATAACGAGACAAAAAAAAAACACTATTGTCTGAGAGTCAGTTCGGCTGACATAAGGTATTAAATAGATGTTACGAAAAAAAAAAGATGTCAAGTATTTTAATGATGGGTACAAAACGTTGAAAATTAAAAAAAAAAAAAGAAAATGAATTTGAAAACGTTAACAAGAATTTAAAACAGATTGGATTTTAGAATATCACAAAAAAAAAGGTAAATAAGAAAGCGTGATTGAGCACCAGTAAAAAAAAAAGTGGGGGGGGATTGAAAATATGGGCAAGATAAGGATTAAAAAACATACTGGCTTTTAGAATGCCATAAAGATATCTGGGGAAAATTGAAAGGCTAATAAGAAAGAGTGATTGACCAGCAGTAAAATATCTGAAGAAGCTAATGTTATGAATGTAAACAGAGAGAAAAGATGTAGAATATTATGAACATTGGCTAAAGGCATGAAAACAATGAAACTATCACAAAAGTGAAACCTGCAAGTTGGGTGAATAAGTACATGAACACCGAATTATCAACAATAAATTTTAGTGATGAATGTAGAGCTACATTGGATGGAGCTGATGGCTGGGTTTGAGGGAGGTTAGATCCGCCATGGAAATAGTCAAGCAACACAATTTAGTGGTGAAAACAAAGGCCCTGCCAATACCTAATAAATAATGAACTGTCCCGTTTTGATCGGCAGGAAAAACGAAAAAGACATATCAGAGACGCTACTTGGTTTCAAAGAAAGAAAGAAAGAAAGAAAGAAAACAAAGAAAGAAAGAAAAGAAAGTTCAAACAAGGAAGTCGTGAAATTTCCACTAGTATCACGAGTTGTATGTAAATACATTTTAACTAAATTTTGACTTTTCTCTCTCTAAATGTTTTCTTTCTTTTAGACTTACCGTAATTCCTCATGTATAATACGCCTTCATCCATAATACGCACCCCTAAAATTGTGTTGAAAATGTGGGAAAATACTTCTATGCACACATGATACGCACCCTTGTTTGGTAATCAAACCCTAAATTGTTCCTCTCCAATTTCAAGGCTAGCGTTTCCTACTCTTATTCGCTTGATAATGGAACAAATTTAAAGTTCCGAAACAGAAATTTCCGTGGAACGATGTAAAAAATTTTTTAAAATATAAATATTAAAACATAGATAGATAGATAGATAGATAGATAGATAGATAGATATGAAAAGACTTACAGAGATTGATATCTATATAAATATATATACTATATGAACATATATATGTATATGTGTGTGTGTGTGTTTGTGTGTGTGTGTGTGTGTTAGATATTTCCAACGAAATTCTCATGTCTTGTCTAAAAATATTTAAACATCTTAAAATATGTTCTTTCGATTTTTTTTTATTTTTATGAAAAACAAGAGCACAGATAGATAGATAGATAGATAGATAGATAGATAGATACAAAACACCTTTTTTTAAACATCTTAAAATGCGTTGTTTCGATTGTTCTTATCTTTACGACAAAGGCACAGTTGGATAGATAGATAGATAGATAGATAGATAGATAGATAGATAGATAGATGCATACATACAAACATGCATGCATAGATAGATATGAAAATTCTAAGATAGTCAGATACATACATACTTACATACATACATACATATGAAAATTATAAGATCGATAGATAGATATGAAATTTGTAAGATAGATAGAAAATTCTAAGATAGATTGATATGAAAAGACTTAGATGGATATATGTATGAAGATATACATATATATGTGTGTGTGTATGCGTGTGGGTTTGTGTGTATGTATGTGTGTATTAAATTTTCCAACGAAATTCTCATATCTTGTCGAAAAATATTATTTAAAAACTTAAAATGTATTATTTCAATTATTCTTATTTTTACGACAAACGTAAGAGCACAAATTTGATTCACTGCAAAGACAGAAACACTTTTAATTAATAAAATTTGAATTAAACGCCGACTAAATCAAACTTTTCCCTTGAATTGGCAAAAATCAAAATGGCTGCCATCTGATTGACAGACAAGTCAATATTGTAAAAAAAAAAAAGAATTAATAATGATACATAAAATTACTTATAACACCAACACAAATATAAGGACAAGATTTTTTTTTTTTTTTTTTTTTAAATAGGACGTTCATTATTTTTTAAAAGTTAATTCTGGAACACATTCTGTCCCAAGAATTGTTAATTATAATGAAGATATGAATATCTCAAAAATATTTATCATTTTTTTTGTGGGGAGGGGGTGATAAAAATATTAAATATTTTTACTGAAAAGGATTAATATGAAATAAAATGTTCACAGGGAATTATTTAGTAAACAAACTTTTATTTTCAAAAAAAAAAAAATTATAACTTACGCAAAAGTGTAATTTGAGCAACCCGGAATAAATATAGATTTATATGGAAGACAAGTGAGACAATAATTCAATGTTTTGAATGTGTCTACATGGGAAATCAATGTACTGTCTATTATATTAGTTTAATTTTTAAAAAATGAATAAATCCTTATTTCAATAATGTATATATTTTATATTTTGAAACTGTGTATTCATTATCTTCTGTAAAATAAAGAATTATATAATTATTAGGAAAATTAAAATTTTGTTCCTTAAACTGCATATTGCAATTGCCTACATTCCACATACAATATAAGTATAATTCTACCTACAATATTAACTTGTAATATATTGCTTAATTTTTCTATAAATTCTGTTGAAATTAATGTATATATACATTTTATTTATTCTTTCTATCAGTGCATTTTATCTACGATGTTTCTAGAGCGTGGATGACGACAACTGAAAGAAGAAATTATTACAAATCTACGCACCCGTATTAATACAA